CGTGGAATAGGGCCGGAACGTCAACGCTGTAGAAATAAAGGGACCTTATTGCAAATTATTATTAATGCAGAATCCGTTCGTCTACCTTATATTCTGAATTACATAGAAAAGCAATCCGATAAGGTAAAAACGCTCTAGCAAGTGACATTTCAGCATGCAATGGAATTTTTAGAGTATATTCATGTCACGTTGGCGCAGATATGAATGGAATCGAGGTGACAGCTTTGCTATGTGACTTAGTGGCCCACTGGCCCGCCCCATCCATGTTCAACTTTTAATTGAAAAAAATTGTTACGTAGAAAATTTATAGTGCAGCTCTAAGAATTTAGGCAAAGCACATGTAGAATATATGGAAAATTTACAGCATATAGAGATATTTTCCAAAGTAGTTTCCGTCATCTTGATATTTTGAAATTAGCCCCCATAAATCTTTAATTTTTTTGAATTCACGTCCCAAATTTTTCATATTTTATAGTTAGTCCCCCAACTCTTTAATAGTGAGTTTGGATAGGTCGTTTTTTAAAGAAAGGAAGGGAGTGGTTGGGAAGATTAGGATGTTAATCCTGTAAAAGTTGTGTTTGTTGAAAATTTTTAATTAGCAAGGGGACGGGATGAGATTATTAAAAATAAACAAATTTACCCACTTTCCTCAAATCCTCATAAAGTGGATGGATAGATAAATTGTCTGCGGGGGTGGGGGTGGGTGGGGGTGAGGGGTGGTTGGGGAGGGAGGCTGATATTTACATGTACAAGTTTTTCAAGAGGGTATGTGATTATATACACTCCTCTCCCTTTCTTCTCTACTTTAAACAAATACAAATTGTAGTGGGCACCCTCTCTAACCTATTTTTTTTAATCCCAAATACAATTAGTTTTATTTTAATTTCTTCTCCTAGCCTACATCCCTTCCCCGTGGGTGTAGTTGAATCATTCCTGCTCCTACTTTGTGTATCCAAACCCACTATACAGTGCTTTAAAATTAGTCCCAAGTCTTTCATGGTTTGAAGTTAGTCTCTCAAATCTTTAAGTATTTTCAAATTAGCTGCCCAAAACCTTTCACGTTTAGAATTAGTCTCCTAAATTTCATATTTTGAAAGTAGTCCTCTAAGTCTTTTAAATATTTTGAGGCTATTACTTCTGATTATTATCTGTCTAAAAGATTTGGGACGCTAATTTTAAAGCCATTGAAAGATTCAGGGAAATTTCATAAAGTATAAGTATTTGGGGTAATAATTTTCAAATACTTAGGTACCGTTTGGCAAATGGTTAAGTGAGGGGTTAAGGAGACTTAACCCCTTCTTAACCTGCTAAACACAACAAATCTATATAAGAGTTAAAGTGAGTTAACCCTCCATAATTTGCCAAACATAAAAAATATAGAAGGGTTAAGTTAACCCCTCTAGAGGGGTTAAAATGAGTTAACCCCTCAAAATGAGGGGTTTACTAATACTCCTATTTAAATAGAATAAGAGTTAACCCTTCTAATTATAAAGAAAATAGTCAAAATCATTGTTATTCCCAAACACTAAAACTGATCATAAGGGCTAAAATAAAACTTATTTAACGGGTTAATAATTTAGTCCTTCGGATTATCAAATGAGCTAAGTACATTAATCATTCTCTTTAACCCCTCTTTATTAACCCTTTATCAAACAGGGCCTTAGAGATTTGGGGGACTAACTCATAATATGAAAGATGCTGGGGACTAATTTAAATTTTTTTAAAGATTTAGCCAAATCTCTAAGTGTTTTAAAATTAGTCTCCTATCTTTCATATTTTGATATTAGTCTCCCAAAATTTTAAGTCTTTTCAAATTAGTTACCCAAATCTTTCATATTTTGACATCGCCCCCTAGATTGTCATATTTTGAAATTTGCCCTCCAAATCTTATTGGATATCTTGAAACTATTCCTTCTAGTCATCATGTGTTCAAAATAGTTTTTTTTTCCTTTAATACTTAGAGACTTGGAGGATAAATTTCAAAATATGAAAGATTCAAATCCTTAAATGTTTTAAAATTAGCCCCCCAAGTCTTTCATATTTTGAATTAGTAACACATAAAGATTTAGCCAAATCTTTAAGTGTTTTAAAAGTAGTCCCCCGACTCTTTCATATTTTGACTTAGTCTCCTAAATTTTCATAAATTTTCATGTTTTGAAATTAGTCCTCCAAACTTTTAAATATTTTGAAACTATTCCTTCTAGATACCATTTGTTTGAAAGATTAAGGGATCTAATTTTAAAGCACTTGAAAGATTCAGGGGACTAGTTTCCAAATATGAGGATTTAGGAGACTCATTTTAAAACAAAGATTTGGGGGCAAATCATTCAGTGTTTTTAAGCTGGTGAATGAAGTCTTTCATATTTTTAAATTAGTCTTCCAAATCTATACATAGTTTGAAATTAGTTCCTCAAACCTTCCATATTTTGAATTATTCCCACAGCTTCATATTTTGAAATTAGTCCTCTAAATCTCTTAAATATTTTGAAAGTACTCCTTCTAGTTATCATCTATTTGAAAGACTTAGGGGCCTAATTTTAAAGCGCTTGAAAGATTTTGGGGACTAGTTTCAAAACATGAGGAGTTGCCCTGCTAATTTCATTACACTGGAAGAGTTGGAGCGTTGGGGTGATTTCAAAATATCAAGATTTAGAGGATAACTCCAAAATACGAAAGATTGAGGAATCAATGTTAGAAAAAACCTAACCTTCAATTAAGGGTGCTTCTACATGGATCCAAAAATGAGACAGATCAGAGGGAGACAGATGAGATGTCGCTCCTCTAATTACATAATAAACTGACTGGCCAGCTCATAATTCCCCTCTATCTGTCTCAATTTCGGGTCAATTAATAAACGAGTCACGAGTAGGGGTGTTAACGGAGCGGATACGGCTCGGATATGGCACTTACCATATCCATATCCGCTTACACATCTCGGATACGGATACGGATACGAATATACGTCGGTAAGAAAAATACATATCCATATCCGCCAAAATCGGATACGGTTACAGATATAGATGCGGATATATAAACGGATATGCATGCGGATACAAAAAAGATATGAGAAAACTAGATAGTATTCAGAAAAATATAGTCATATGATACAAAAAGAGTTCGTTAATATGTTCGTTATGATTGAAAAACTAAGATTAGACATCTTGATCATCAAAATTAACCACAAATTCATAGTCTAAGAATCGAAACTATCGTAAGAGTATGACCAATATGTATTCGGATATTTTCGGATACGGATACGGATATTTCACTACAAAATCATATCCGTTACCATATCCTATAGGTTATAGATTTGAGTAACCATATTCGTATCCTAACGGATACGGTTACGGATATTTCCTCGGATACGGATACGGTTTGGCACCCCTAGTCACGAGGCTTCAAAAGTGCAACAAGGTGGGACCAGCGTATTTTTCCTCCAACCAACACCACCTTCCCTGAACCCTTCATCACAAATCAAAAATCATAGACAAAATAACAAATAAAAGAGCCCCCCCTCCTTTTACCTCCCTCAAACCCTAACTTTCAAATTCACATTCCCAAGTCCCCAAATCGCCAAATCTCAGCCATGAGCAACGAATAGTAAGCTCCCAAATTCCCCCACTTCTTTAATTAATTAACCATGACCCCTAATTTAATTCATCCTCCTCTAATTGCAGTGATTACCTCTTCAAGCTCCTCCTAATCGGCGACTCCTCCGTTGGCAAATCCTGCCTTCTCCTCAGATTCGCTGTGAGTTCTGAATTCTCCTCCAAGTTGGGGTTTAGGGTTAAGGTTTTCGATTTCAATGGATGGGATTATGATTTGGGTTTTCTTTTAACAGGATGATTCGTACGTCGATAGCTACATCAGTACCATTGGGGTCGATTTTGTAAGTTCCGGGTTCTTCTTATCTTTCGTAATTTTAAGAACTTTTCTATGGTGCATTTTAGAGATTTATAATGTATAATTGTTGGCTTTATAGAAAATTAGGACTGTGGAGCTGGATGGGAAGACAATAAAACTGCAGATTGTGAGTGTTTTTGATCTTTTCTTTTTCCTTTTCTTTTTTAATTTGGTCAGTTGCTCATATTTTGATGTGATGTTATTCTGTCTTTGAAAATTAAATGTTGGTAGGTAGGTATGATTCTTGTTGTAATGACTTGTGAAATTGGTGTGCATCATTGCTATGTAGGGAGTTGAGGACCACTTACCTTACCGCCAACAAATGGTGGGTGTGGTTTCTATCTGTAGTCAGTCCTCGATTGAATCATGGACTTGGTGACAGGTGTTATTGCAAGTATCTTAGTTCTGAGTATGAATCACAACATTATTATATCCAACTATATGAGGGATATCCAACTATATGAGGGATTTGATAATTGTTTACACTACAAAATGATTACTTTCTGGGTAACATGAATGTTTAGAAAAGCCGTGAAAAAATTATCTTTCTAAATTACATTTATTCGTAAGTCTCTGTCTTACTCTTTCATCCCAACATTTCCTCTCCCCTTTGTGGCATAAATTTTAGCTTCTGTTTATAGTATCTTAATGTTTAATGGAGTTTAAGCGTTAAAAATGTTTGGATGTGCAAAACTACAAAACTAGTGCATATTTTTAAATTAGAGCATGTTATATTTATCCTTCTATAGTTTTCCATTTTAGCAACTATCTTGGTTACAATATTTTTGGTTCAAAACTTTTCCCCTACGAGATCTAATGGCAATTGATAATGTTAACAAGACATAGTAAAAAGAGTATATATTCTCCATATTGTTTCTAATAATAACAGTGGTATTATAAATTATTTTTAATCCATCAAATGTTATTGAAGCTATTGTTTTTTAAGAAGTTTAGTGTGCTAATGTGTCCACCATACATTTAATATTTTCTTATTGATATTCCTAAGTTTATGTCTAAAAAGCATAACCTGAATTTTGAAATGAAATAAAGAATTCAAAATTTTAAACAAAATTTTCATATTCAATTTTAAAAAATCCTAATGTTTATTAATCATTAATTATAATAAAAAGGTCAATAGCAGACTAATCATTTCCCTATTTACTAAAAATGCTATCATGTTTTGAAAAGAAGATTATGATTCAATATAGGTTGAGACTGAGTTAATGAGAATTATAATTTGTAGATATAAGTATAGGGATTAATGGTCTTTGAATTGGACTAAGGCAAAGGTCATTTTGTAATCATATTTCCATTTTAAATTAATTTTGAAAAGTTTCTGGTTTATGTTATTTTTCTTTTTCTAAAATTGTACATGTTTTTTTTGTTTATCTTAGAAGAATGTTCAATTTATTTTCACTTATACTAGGTTTTGTCTTTTAACTATCTTACAAAACTACTAAAATTTTATGCACATTTTTTGACCTCTTAAGTAATGATTAACATACAATTGAACTTTTATTACCTGTTGCATTACTTTGAATGATAATTTCCTGTTTTTTTTCATAGTTAAACTATTCTTTTTTGATCGCGTTCGTACATTAAGAATCTTGTTAACACAGTTTCATTGTAAAATCTGAGGGCTATGAGCTTTAATTATCCAAAGTTTATGATTCTTAAACTTTACTAGGTGATGTTTATCGACATTAATCCTCAGCTTCTCAATTGTTGGTTAATAATGTTTAATATATATGCATAACAGTAAATAAGAAAAGCTCATTTTATTTCTTATTTCAAAGTTTATGTTCATGAAATGGAACAAGATGTAGTCTGGATGCTCTTATAATGTAAATTTCTCTGACACGTTAAACTGATGACATTTGGAAAATTACTGACTCCAATATTCACATAGCATCATTTCTTAGTATTTAAAACTTCTTACCTATTTAACTTTCGAGTTACTCATTTCTCTTCAAACTACTCAACTGAGTATGTTTGATTTTTATTTAGCCGGTAGTCTAAGATAACATGAATTAGTATTACTACTGTGTCAATCTGATTAAAGGAAGAGACTGTTTATGCTTAACCCTTGGAATGTTTGTTTTAAACATATTTGCTTGTTTAGTGGGATACTGCAGGACAAGAACGTTTCAGGACTATAACAAGCAGTTACTACAGAGGAGCACATGGAATCATTGTAAGATTTGATATCGTCACCTTGCTTTCTTGTCAATTATCTTCGACTTAATCAAATCATTGTGGTTTTACACTTTTTTCCTTCAATACCAAAACCTAAGAGTTACTAACTATGTAACGACCACATCATTATACTGTGTCAAATACACCTAACCGTGTCCAACCTAAAACTTAATTTTCAGGTTTAAGATGCAAGCAATTACTATTTCTTTGATTGTGTCAGTGTATAAGATGTAAATTGGTGTATATTATAACCTCTTTACTGTGTGAGTATTAGTTAGAAAGCACATCCAAACCCATGCCTCCGATTCCCCTCTTTCAAATTTCAATCTATGCCAAAGTCACGAGGGATGACCTCCTCTTTCATTGAGTCTTCCCCTTATTTTCAACAACTTCAAGGAAGCATTCCAATGGAGCTAAATTTGTCCAAATAATTGAATGATTTTCTTTTATTCAATCCTATCACCTATCATACTTGTTTATAAATATATTAACATGTGTTTCCAATCTTGCTTATTATAAGTTTTCCACGTTGTATTTGTGTCTGTAACCATTCTCCACAGATCATTCATGGCTTTACATATAGCTGCTAAACCACAACTAGATTGAAAAATATCCCATCTAAAAGTAATGAATATTTCTTAATCTTATTATAACTTTTGGCGAATGTTATTTGCTTCCCTAGTAGCATAAATTTTAAGTCCAATCATAACTTTTGGAATGCTTAATTGGGGAATACATGCCCTTTTACTGTGTAAATTACATCTTGATTTAATTCCTTTTACACTAGGATGGAAATTTTAATTGTGTCCATGTCAACCTTGTTAGAAACAATGTTACAGAAGGTGCTAGGTGGACTAGGCATTCGAGCCGGGGCCTAGCTCCTAGGCGCCTAGGTGTTTGTCTATTTTTTAATTTATTTAATTATAATAATTCACAAAAATATGTATTAAGTTCATATAAAATTGTAAAAAAAATAAATAACAAGATTAAATCCATAATCAACCATGCTTAAATACTAAAATGGAACTAAGATTAACTAAAATTAACTAAAATTGAACAAGATTAAACTAAAATTAACTAAAATTGAACAAGATTAAACTAAAATTAACTAAAATTGAACAAGATTAAACTACAATTAACTTAATTAAACTGATTTATTAAACTAAATTGAACAAGATTAACTATTTAAATTTAAAAAACAGTTTATAAGTGAAAATTTTACCTAAAACAGTAAATAAGTTAAAAAAAAGTTTATAAATTAAAAATAATTTGAAAATTTTACCTGAATGGCTGTGGCAGAAGCGGCCTATCGGAGAGAGGACCGAGCAGGAGAACGGGACTGCGGGAGAGGAGGACAGTGTTTATGGCACGTGGCGGTAGGAGAGGGACAGGTGGGATGTAGGGAGAGAAAGTCAAGAGAGGAGATAGGGAGACGCCGACTGCGGAGTCAGAGTGAGTTAGAGAGAAGCAGAAAGGGAGGATTGGGGACGAGGCGGGCGGAGGAGAGAGAGAGAGAGAGCGGACTGAAGGAGACGGGGGGTAGAGAGAGTATGAGATCGGTGAGAGAATAGGAGAAAGCGGACTATGAGTGCATGGAGAGTTAGAAGAGAGTGTGAGGATAGCGGTTAGATGTTTATTAGGTTTATGCGATTTGGTAACGGGCTTGATGTTGGGCATACGTTTTTGTAGAGTTTTTTGTTCTTTGTTCAAAGATGCTAAGGATTAGTCGCGCTTAGCAGCCCGCCTCGCCCTAGGTGACGCCTAGGCGGGAGCGCGCGGACTCTAACTGGGCTTGCTTCGCGCACATTTTTAGGCGGCCAAAGCTCCGTCTACGCCTAGACCGCTTTTTATAACACTGGTTAGAACTTAGAAGTAGCATCAAAGTTGCAAAAATCTGAAAGCTAGTGAACATTCAAATAATTTTCATTTAGGGATCAGCATTTCACGTAGTTGATGCCTCCCAAGTGGTTTTATTACTCCAAAGAATGATTGGCTTTTTTCCCCTTGTATATTGTATCCTTTAGTATTCTTGACTCTATATAACCAAAAGTATAAAGACTAATTATAACATATCCATGAGATCTTTTCAGATTGTCTATGATGTCACTGAAATGGAGAGCTTCAATAATGTCAAACAATGGTTGAGTGAAATTGATAGATATGCTAACGACAGCGTATGCAAGCTTCTTGTTGGAAACAAATGCGATTTGGTTGAGAACAAAGTTGTGGATACTGAAAAGGCAAAGGTAAATCTGCACTTCTTTTAGATATGAGTTACATTGTTAGCATGTACTGTTGCTTTGTTTATATTGATCTGGGAGCGATGCATCAATGCTTATTCATCTGACAGACTTTAATGCGTGTGTGTAACATAAACACTTGATGAACAAAACATTTATTTAAAATGAGAGGCATAATGGTTACAGCTGGTTGCAGGTCGTGAAATTTAGTTATGTCATTTTGTACACCATATCAAGTATTATTATTATTGTTATTATTTGCATTTTCTCTGCGTGTGTTGGGCTAGGAATGTTTGGGGTTTTTTTTTGGGGTCTTTGGTTTTTTTTTGGGTGTGTGTGTGTGTGTTTCCCTTGGAAACCTCCATCCAATAATAGGCATTCTAATAAACTTTAACTTCATTGTTATCATTGTTACGGAAGTTCTTCTAGTGTATCCAAGGCAGTCAGACTCAAGATGTATGTGTTGGAGCTAAATTTCAAACAATTTAGGCTATAGGTTGTTCTTCATTGAACCTGAGTCCTATACATTTTGTTTTTAAGCCTTGGGTTACTTGTTGACAAAGGCTTTGCAACCAATACGGGAATGCTTTCTCTTTTCATTTGCATGACATCGAAGTTATGTTTTAAGTCTTTGGCTATGTTTACCACTATGATTATTCTGGGATCGACTGATTTTTTTTTTGTTGAGTTATGATTCAATATGGATTTTGATTCCAAATGCAAATATGCATCATGACAGCTTTGGTAGTGTGGGTGCTGTACTTGACTGGTTTAAGTCATCTCCCTTAGCTTGGGCCATCCACTTTCTGCGTATTCCATACTGTAGTTGCATGTAGATCATCGGACAAACATGGAAAGAGGAACTTTTTTGGGATTTTGAGCATACGGACAAGTTGGAAATAAAAATTAATTAGACCTTTGTCCCAAATCCTTTGGACTGAGTACATGAATCCTTTTTCTCTATTCAGCTATGTTATCTTTGTTAAATATGTGCTTTAAAGAATTTTCATTGGTACCTTCTATCATTTTCTCCTCCTATTTAGTAGAACTCTTGGTGTACTACTTCTGGTTGTACCTACCAATTGCTATTCTAGGAATTATGTCTAGATCCTCTTTTATCCATGCTTTTTGATGACTAGTAATTTGTCATCAACACGAAGGGCTGACATCAGGCTGACACTTAACTGTACTTAACTGTAAGATGTAACTGATTCGTCCACGGAACCTTGTTCTACATAAAATGTTTTAAAAAGCTCCCGCCTAGGCCTAGGTGGTACCCAGGCCGACCGTCTAGGTCTTGTGAGCGCCTAGGGGAGCGGAGACCACTTACGGGCACTAGACCGTTTATTGTCATGGTCGTGATTTCTTCCATTATTGCCTCCTCGTCCTCTAACCTCCTAACTCCTCCAATCGTCTCCATTGACTACGAACACCTCCTCCAACTCCTCTGACCTTCAGCAAAACCTCCTCTGTCACCAACATAAGCCAAAAAAACCCTACTCCTGGGCCTAGCGCCTAAGCGCTAGGCACCAGTTTGGCACCTTGCTATGCCTATCGCTTTCCTTAACATGATTGTAATTAAAAACTAAAAAGTAAAAAATTTGGAAAACGCCTAGGCTCCCGCTTAGGCGCCTAGGCGCCTAAGCAGGCGCCTAGGCGCTAGGTGCCGCGTCCGACGCCTAGGCCACCTAGTGCTTTTTGTAACCTCAGCTACATAATGATCCCACTATAATTAGGTGAACCTTTATTTTTCCTATTCCTTCTGTTCGTCTATGAAGTTTAATTATGCACTCCCAGGTCACAGTAAAAATAAATAAGTAGTACTTGTACTGATTATATTTTTTCCCATATGCCTTGCTCATTTTAAGTTGAAAAACCCTATATCACTCTCCCTCTGTTTACCCTTTCGTCAAAATCCGCTGCCCCACCCACCCACAACTGTCGATAACTCTGGTCAAAGAAATTGATTTCTTGGCTGTTGACAGATCAAATGTATAGACTTCTCATGTGCACTACAAATTCCTTAGGCACTGAATTTGTAGCAGACTTCTGTCACTTCCCATGTGCGTTGTATGTTTCTTAGGGACTGAATTTGTTGTTCTTTTTAAAGTTTTTCTTTCATAGCTCTCTCTTTAATTCACTGTTTTGTTGGAAATAAAAGAAAGATCATTAGGATTACTTAGAATTTTCTTCTCTTGGGTTTTTCTCCCCTCCATGGGTTTTGAGTTTTGGAATTCAACTTCAGCAAACTGAAGCTCCCGTGTTTTCCTCCTCAGTAATTAAATCTTTAGATGTGCATGAAATTGGCCACTTTCTCATGAGGATTCTGAAGTGATAGGTTGCTCACATATTTTCGCTCCCCTCCTTCTAATCCACTTGTAGTTTTTGTTGCATTGCAGTAGTTATTCTAATTGGCACCTTGGATCTTGGTTTTCCAAGTAATATTCATTCTGTCCGTTTAAATAATCAATGAAGACTCAATTATATATTGTTTCAGCAAATGAATACCCAAGTTGAGACAGTTTGGGCTTCTAGAGTCCAGATGCTATGATGTCTTGCTTTCTAATTAGCAAATTATTAAATCTTTGTTGATGAGATATTGTTTTCCACTATTATGCATTTGATGTGATAAACCACAGGCATTTGCTGATGAGCTTGGCATCCCTTTCCTTGAGACAAGTGCAAAGGATTCTATCAACGTCGAACAAGCTTTTGTTACCATGTCTGCAGAAATTAAGAAAAGGTAAAATCAGGAAATATAGCTATAGCTTGCATCCCTCGATCCTGGACTGGCAAAGTCAGTTTGGCATAGTTGCTTTCTTAGTTAATTGACGTAGTAGGCTTAAAATAAAATGCGACAAATTTTTTCTTTCCATAACTGCACAATCATATTATTATTTTAGTTGAGCATAATCTTATATTGTATTGTTTATTGATCAATCTGTAGGATGGGAAGCCTGCCAACTGCCAACAAGAATCAGACAAACACTGTTCAGATGAAAGGCCAACCAATTCAGCAAAAGAGCAACTGCTGTGGTTAGCCTGATTATTTCTACCTTTGCCATGTGTTTAGTTCAAAATCGTTCGAGTGCTTAACCATTGTATCAGTTTATGCTTCAGATGCTCGTTAATGTGTTAGTCTGAGACTTGGAAACACTGGGGATTTATCTATAAAAAGAAACTGTTCACATCTTCCAGATTGTTTGATTCTTTATGATCAGTGATCATGATTTTTTTTTCTTTTTATGTGTATTAAGATTTAGGAAACGCGAGAGACCTCAAAACTAATAAAGCATCTTGGACAAAAATTAGGCTTTATGATAGGAGTAAGGAATAATAAGACAGGAGGATTGAATAAAGAGAGGCCATTATTACCTTTTTAAAGGTTAAGACAAGGTGATTGACATCAAGAGACCAGGGTTACTCATCAAAGGAAGGATGCCCTCATCATTGAAATGGTTTTAATCTAAGGAGAAATGGGTTGTCAATGTAAATTTTGTATCAGGTAGAAAAGAGTGTTGAGACACAAAATTGGGAACTCTGCCCGCGCTAGACTCTTTGTTCATTTTAAGCTCTTCCTAATATCTAAATCTGATTTCAGCATTTCTTTAGGAGCAAGGCCATTTGTTTTATGGTCACAGCGGGATCCAACATTTAAAACCAACTCCACTTCAAGCAAAAACACAAAATGGAACAAGGATCAAAGACCTTCATTTAATTTTTGCTTATGACATAAGCCACAGTTACAACACTAGCAACAGCTGTCCTTACTAAAATCTAAAACTCTCTATGCAACATTCACTCACTCACTGAGAGATCAGTCTACCATCTCAATTTGCTTTAAGGTCTAAGGCTGCGAGCTGCTGAATGTTCATGGGGAACACCACATCAGTGTTGCCACTGAAGGCTTTTCTTGCTAGCATAACATTAACAGCAGCAGTTGGATGGAATGCATCCCAGAACACATACTGGTCTCTGTTGGAGCATGGAGTTTGAAAGGGAAGGCATGTGATTTGCCCGCTGTTGCGACCGATGCCACAGCAACCACGGTCAATGACGCTGAATCCTGCAATCACAGAGGTAATTAACCGTCATATTATAGAATTATAACCACAATTTCAAAGTTTTGATGTGCTGGAAGGGGTTTTAAGAAGATATCAAAATAACTCATGCTCAACATTATAGTGAGCGTAACTTTTTAAGTAAAGTAGTCTTGATTTCGATCCACGAAAAGAATGCTCAATCTTCAGTACAACTTCAGAATTTTGATGAAATGGAGGAAATTTTGAGAACAAAACCTGGAAGGTCAGGACTCAAGCAACCAGAGGATTTCATAATTGCATGTTTGAGAAGTAATGATTTATACAAGTCAAATCCTCTAAGTCTGTTATTGGAACAAAAAAAAAAAAAAAAATCTAATGAATTTTTGCTTATGCCTCAAGCCGGAAGATAGTCCATGGTCTCCGTGTCATTTTGATTGCAAAATGTTTGATTATTATCCAACACATGCCGACAATGAAGTTTGAAATTTCTTGTTTCCATGCGAAAATGAGGCTATAGGAAATAGGACTAGATTATAGGAAATACTTAGCCATGAAATTTGTATTTCTAAACCTATGTAACTGTACAAGTCCGCCTTTTTTATATTACAAACGTTGTAAAATTGCATGAAAAATTAGGCTCTACTAGTTTATCTTATGATAAGAAAAAAGAACCCGTAAATTGGAAACGAGAGTAATAAGAAATGACTGAGACATAAATCAGCTTACCATATAATCTTGGATTATTTATGATGTCCATAAACATGCGATAGATATCGACGTAAATGAACTTGGAACGAGGGAGATTGGTGTTGAGTGTGTTGACCATTGCCTTAACCTTGTTATTGAATGGGTTAACAAGATTATCGACATCTGGTGAGCACCGAGTCAGCATATTTTGTGCAAGAATGCTTGGTATACAGGCAATCGATCCGACACCCGAGATTACAAATTTCCGAGCTCCAAGATTGTATAAACTCTGTAAGAAACCATAAGTAAAAATATCTGAATGCATAATATTTTGGAATAAACTGTCAAGAGCAAAGTAGTTGGTATTTGGAAAATAAGTGAGAATTTAAGAAAAGTGCTGGATCGTTTATTTCTCTGACAAGCTGTTTAAGTGCTGCTCGTTAGTAGAAGTGGCAATCAAATTTTTCTCTCATTCACTTCCAGTGTTGATACTCCTGAACAAAGTAACACCAACTTTCTGGCGCTTTGGGGCATCAAATTTCAAGATAGAACTTGGGTGTCAAAGTTGGAAAGACGAACTTTTAAGAAGTATTTTGATTTCTTTCATCGGATTGAGCATGTATAGGCACATAGCCATTTAGTCAGATGAAACGGATTGAGCTCGTATAAACACGCAGCCATTTATCTCGGATCATCGATCAATAATTCCATATCGGGTTTGAGCCAAGCCATGCGATCAGGTCGAGATGGCCAACCCCTACTAGTTGGTCACTTGAGTATTCTTACTGACAAAACGGGTGATATTAATGATACCAGAGAATGTACCGTCCCAATACTTTCCTTTGCCGACTAGTTAGTCATTTGAGTTGTTTCTAAGTGATAAAATGGGTGATATTAATGATATCAGCCAATACACAGTCCCAATAGTTCCTATCAAAAAAATTTTACCATGTGCAAATATTTAATATGCACTCAGCGAGTGGGAGCAGGAAAGTTGCAGTCAAGATGGGGCTTACAGTGAGCTGTCTGCTGTACTGCTGGACCAACAAGTCTGAAAACTGCTCGCCATTGTACTCATTCCTGGTGTTGTAATTGGGCATGAGATAGTTGTTGAGGTAGTCATTGCTCCCCATCCCAACGAAGAAGATGCAGTGCGCTATCGCATCAGCCACCGCATCTGCGCCCAGATTGTCCGTGATCTGATCGAGGGTTGACTCGAAGTTCTTGATCTGTTGGTTGAACGGTATGCGTCCAACCTGCACGAACGAGTGCATTTTAGCAAAGTGTTTATGCACTAACAGTTGCTTTACTACCATATGAGGCGATAAATATGGGAACTTTAATTTGATCCTCTCCTCTCTCTCTCTCTCTCTGAGAGAGAAAATTTATCCTATAGAGGGCTTCTCCAAAATATCGCATAGAAAGGAGGAAGAGGGTGACATTTGACATATCACTTAGCTCGATATACATATCAGTAACGTCTAGTAAACTATTGTTTGCGCTAGCAGTAATTGTACCGGTAGACTACTGACAGTAGGCATATACTCTTTGCGCTAATTATTCAGTAGGCATCTACAAAATACGGGGTTCAAGGCTTACAAAATTTCTGCCAGTAGCATCAAGAATCCCCCGCCAGCGCTAGCCATGCGTAATGACTCCATGCAGCGCCGCTCGCCGAGGCTTGGGAATGGGGTTGGTGTTAGTGGTAATCCCAGAAGATTCAGCTGCAAGAAAAGAAGTAATATTACTTGGCATGTGATCCAGTCGAGGAGTATATGTTAATACTGGTCTAAATTAGAAAAGAAAGAGTTCAGACAATATTATGAAGCTTTTAATGTCAAGAATTGAGGAAGGGGGGGGGGGCGGGGGGGCGGTACTGAATAGTTAATGGAGCGATTAGTATGGCTGGTAGAGTGGCCAAGGGAAACATCACCAACTTTTACAGCAACGAAGCATACACTGCATTTAAGCTGGGTACGTAATTTCCAACGTACACAAAACAAGTGAGTATAACGTCAAATTTTTATTTAATTTGCATGTTTATCTGGAGAAAATTGACATTAATGAAATTCTCCTACAATGTCTCTTGATAAGTAAACTATGGGATATAGCATACTTTTACAATTAAAAATAAAAATCAGTATTCATGTAGCAGGGAGGGAATCTTATTATTTAAATTTAGGGTAAATTACAGTAAACTCCCAAGAGCTTTTAGCGCTTTGTAGGAAACCCTCAATAAGTTTAAAAACCTCACTAGACCCTCACTAGTTTTCCGAAAAAGCACCAATATCTTTTGGGAAATTACACTAAATCCCCAATAACTTTCAAAATGCCATCTATGTTGTATTTTAGTTCTAATTTATAAGGTTTATTTGCTAAATGCAGAATATTATTGGGGGTTTTCTGTAAAACGCAAAATTTATTTGGGTTTTCGTGCAAATTTGAAAGTTCTTGGAGGTTTACTACAAAATGCTAAAAGTTATCGGGGGTTTACTGTAATTTACCCTTAAATTAATTATTATTAACTTCATAGAAGGTGCATGTATCTTGAAACTCTAGAATCTAGATGACCTAGCTACTTGCGTAGTTCTGTAATAGACTAGTGTGGCCTCTCAGAAGAGCTTTTTATGATATGTATATGTCAATAGTATCAACAATAACGTTGCATAGCGCACCATCAACAGCAGAGAAAATATAATATATATATATATATATATATATATATATATATATATATATATATATATATATATATATTATATATATATATATATCACCAGTTACGCGATTTCAAGCGAAAGCTTTCCCATGAGGGGAACAAATTCCACCAGATTCTTGTACGTTATGCTCTTTGTTTGTTTCAATAGTTTCTTATGCACACCACTCACGAACTGGTCAAATACATGTAAGATGCGAACATTTATTGATCTTCATGATGTTTTCTCTTTAAGTTTTCGATTTGTACCGTACGTACAGAAATCAGCAATTAATTAAGAGACATCATAGAGTTGCATGATATATAAACGAAGCACATGGCACGCAAAGAAGAAGATTTATAACCCTTAGCTAACTTGCATGACAAATGAATCACGCAACATGAAACTATAACTAACATGTAAGCGATCTCTTTTAACAAATTAACGTACGTACCTATCTCATCAACAATGGTGTAGCCATTGGAGAACCTCCCTGTGGGTCCACCAGAAAAGTCTATGCCATAAGGATAGTAGTTTGCCTTGGCAAAAGAAGGAAGATCGTTGTTGTTTCCATTGTCTATGAGCGAGTCACCAAACACAAACATCGCAGGCGCCAATTCCCTCTTCCCCTGCCTTGGTGCAAAGCTTTCTCCTCCCTCTTGAGCATTTGAGACTAGACATGAACAAGTGACGACAAAGAAGAGCGTGAAGGGAGAAGAGAAGCTGAATGGAGTAGTCATGAGAGATTTTTAGGCGCTGGTGATACTTGAAAGTGAGTTGAGAAGAGGGGGAGAGACAGAGGGGGTGATTGATATAGATGAAGAAGAGGGGCGGTGGGTGGGTAGAATTGTAATTAATGCTCCAAACTGTACACATTGAGGTTTTAGAGGAGGGTAATAAATGTGGATGTGGATGCTCCAGACTGTAGACACTGGGTACCAGATTGTTGTTGCTGGCTGATCAATTCAATGGAGGGGTGTACTTCTGTGACCGGAATGCTGCTTAAGGGCTCATTTGTAACCACATTTTGTCTAATTCGGAATAACTGTCATTTCTATGAAATATTCAAATTAATATCTGAGGGAGGTTACACATGAGTTCATTTTTTGATAGACATAAGTTGGCCTCACCACTGAAGAGCATGTTTGGCTACTGCCTATTTTTTCGATTTTTTGACTTCTTATAAGTTGCATTTTATTTATTCTCAAAACTTCTTATAAATATGTAAGAAAATAATTAAGTCTGTTTAGTAAACCCCTTAATATATAAGGAGATATAAATAGTTATGTCTTTGTTAAACCATATATAACTTATAAGACTGTGTTAAATGTCAAATGGCTGAAAAGGACATATTGTTGTAACTCTATAGTGTGACTTATTAATTCATTTTATATTAACTAGATAATTCATAATAATAAATTTATTGATTACTTAAAAAGTAAAAAAATTATAGTTATTTATTAAAAATAATTAAAATTATTAATTATTAATTATTAATAATGAGATTAACTAATTAATTTCATTGTAATGAAATATTAGTATTAATAAAATTAATTAATAAAAAATTAGTTATCTCATATAAAAAAAATATTAATATTTTCATATATTGCATTATATTGTGAATACGAATTACCAATGTTGAGATTAATTACTTAAAGTTACATTAGTAAAATGCTATTATTAATAAAATAAATAAATAATTAAAAATTAGTTATATCATAATAAGAAATATTTTTGATTAAAATAAATATATTACATTATTTGTGATTACTAATTACTAATATTGTGATTAAGAAATTACTGTCATATGAATAAAATATTATTAATAATAAAGAAATCAATATGCATAGGGTGAAAGTACCCTAGAGAGGGGAGAATAGGGTATTTGCTAATCTAATCCTTTTAAAAACTTATTAACAATCTATCTTAGCAATCATGATGTTCAACAAGATATGAGCAATGATATGTAATTAAACAAGGGCGAAATAAACATGAACATAAGATGCAAATGAGATAGTGCGCAAATGACAACCGCAAACAAACGATGTGATCACGGAGTTTGGTCACTCTCGACCTACGTCTCCGCTCCCCACTCTCGAGGAGAATCTCCACTATCTCAAAAGATAACTACACAATCGGTTTTCAAAGCTCACCGATAAATGTTTACAAATCACACACTTGTAATCACACAATACACCCTTTAAGTGTTGGCCTCTCACGTGTCACCTTCCTCAAGTGTTCGAATTTACCACCTCTCCCTAAGCTTTATAACCGACGTCACTCCTTTTGGAATCGACCCCGTCTCTCACCAACCACTTCTCTTGGTGTCTTGTGTATTACAATGCGATCTCTTGATAAATAAGTTCAAAAACAAGTATTTGTTCTCTAACAAAATGAGAACTCAATTAAGCTTAATCTGAAAGAATCACTCACCACAACTCAAATATAATGTATGAAATGCTAAAAGCTCAATAGGTGGTGTGTGTGGTCAATGAGCAATAATAAGAACTAAACTTAATATAAAATCTAGCTTAATAAAGTAATAATCAACAATAAATATAAATAAAGCTAAAAATTAAGTTTAGCAAAACTTCTCTGAAAATCAAGAATGAGAGAGATGTAGATTGAAGCCCAAACACGAAAAGAATAATTTCCTCCTTGTGAAAACCACTTCACATAATCAAACTTGAAAACACTTGTAAACCCTTTTACAAACTTGCCCACAACTTAATTTTTGTTTTTCTTAGCTGATTCAAAAGTTAGAGGGTAATGGGTATATATAGGTTCATGAAACAAAGCCCAAAAAACAAAGAAAATCCAAACAAAAAGACAAAAATCCAAAAAGTCAGCAAAATTGGAAAACTAGCCATTAGAGTGCCTTCAGTCGACTGATAGTACTGTTCAGTCGACCGATGAGCTGACCGTTGGAGGCCGCTCATCCTTCATCGGTCGACTGATAGTTCATCAGTCGACTGAGCAGAGACTTTTGCTTATTCCAGCTCATTTTTTAGGTTGACTGATGAGTTTCATTAGTCGACTGATAACATGCACATGGTCTTTTAAAAACAGTAAATTTAAACTTTGAACCCCTTTAAAAAATAACAAATAAATTCCAAAAATAGGAAATTTGGGAAAATGTTTATAAACATAAAAATGAACATGTTATAAAAGAAATTTTAAAATATCATTTACTGTTTGTGAAAACTCATCATTTTGCAAAAACTCAAAAATACATAATCGTTTAAACACTTGATTTTGACACTATGACTTAAACCAAGTTAAGAAAACTTTTTAAATTGATTTATAACCTTAATAAAAGATGTATACAAGGATTATTTTATCCATACACTAAAAACACAATATTTTCTCAAAAATACATATATTTTGATAAAAATAAGAAATACTTGTGTGTATAAAATTAAGCTTAAAGTATTATCACACAAAGTATAAACCTAAAACACTATACCCAAGCAATTTGATCTTCAATTAAGCTTGCCTTGGTAGGATGAAGCGCAATAGAGAATCTTTAACTTGAATGCACAAATGGTTTCATTCCGATTTCCACCAACCTCCTTTGAATGTGATCGTGAAAGCGCAAGTTCATCCAACCTCCAACATAAGGATCTTGTGTAGAGTTCCTAACAAGCAAATACAAAACACTCCACATATCGAAGATAGGAATTGTTTGTTAATCATCAAAACTAGATTAGATAGTAGGCTCATAAACATGAGACTTAACAATCTCCCCCTATTTGATGATGACAAATAATCTACACAAAGAGATATAAGACATGCATGATATCAAATGAATATACAATTTATAACTCATGAATGAAAACAAAATACTCACAAACCGCTTGGTTCTCCCCCTTTGTCAACATCAAAATGGGGAAAACAATAAGAGATAAGAGAGCGTAAGCTCCCCTACAAATAAGCATAGTGAGTATGAACATAGAAAGAGATAGAGAAGGCTCCTCCTATCAAAAAACCATAAAGAATATATATATTATATGTGAGTAAACATAGATAGAAAAACATGCTAATCACTACTCACATACAGAGAGACCAAGAATGTTGGCCTTCTTGTTTTGATGATGTTTAACAAACAATTTACTCCTAATATTGTTTTTCTAGTATTTATGTTTTCTATTTATTGTAGACAAACAACATTGTTGGAGGATGGATGGAATAGAGCTTTAACGATAATATCCAATGGAGGTTGGCGGAATAGTAGGTGAAGCCTTGCTATCAAGTTAAAGATCCAATTACAAGCTTCATCCGCAAGTGTACCAAGTTGAGCTTATTGAAGATCAAGATCTAGCTTGGGTAACTTAGTTTAGGTTTTATATTATGTGTGTTAGTACCTTAAGCTCAATATAATCTACGCACACACATTTATTGGTTTTCATGTATATATATAGTTATATATATACATATATATTTTGGTTTGATAGTTTTTAAGTTTTACTATGAAAAAATTGAGTACAATTGGAAAACATATTTTTTTGTTTCATACTTATATGCATTTATATGATTTTATCAATATCAATTTTATTTAGTTCCATGAAATCATGTTTTAGTGTATTATATGTGTATTGTGATAAAATACTATATTCATTGCTTATAGACTTCATAACAATAGTTTACATCTTCTATTAAGTCTACAAAACCATTTTGTAATGTTTCAAAATATAGTTAAGCTAAAATGTCAAAACTCGTATGTTTACATTTTCATGTTTTGGCCTATTTTGTAAAATGATGATATTTTTTATTTGGAAAGTCCTTTTTGGAAACCAGTCATTGTAGAATGTTTATTATCATATCTACAATCATTATCCAAAGTTTTATATTTTTTGGAATTTATTTGATATTTTTAAACAGGGTTTCAAAATTAGAAAAACAGCTTTCAAAACCTGTTTTTAGTCTGTGTCAGTTCGCGGTCGACCGCCACGGTCGACCGCCATGAGATCAATACT